CTCTCTCTCTCTCTCTCTCTCATAGCTCCTGAAAACTTCATCACTTCATCATAGCTCCTAATTCCTCAATAAATCACCTTTGCTTTGTTTTTTTCCCAGCTCTTCAAAATCTTTACAGTTTGAGAAAGCAGTAATCGACCAAACCAAACCAATACACTTAAGGTTCGAGATTTTGCAGAAAATCTTCACATTATTTTTATTTTCATTTTTTCTCATTATTATTTGTTGATGCTTATTAATCTTATTTCTGGAATATTTTTGCTCATTACTATTTTCTTTTTTGTTTTTTAACATTTTCTTCTTTTTTCCATTTCAATTTATTTTCAGTTATTTTCAATCATTTTCCATTTTATTTTTATTTTTATTTTTTAATTTTCTACAATTATCTGTTTTGTTTTCATTTCTATAACTTTTTAGTTCAAACATCATCCATGGGGGCAAATAGAAGAAATTTTGAAACTTTTTGAGAGCATGGCATCAACAATTTCTGTTACGTTCTGTCATCACATTAACTGAAGGGATCAGTAAGTATAGTTTACACTAAACCTCAAGAGAGGTTTTTGGAGAGGTTTAAGTAATTTACCCTATAAAATATTGACAATATAATTCTGCAAGTTATATTAGTTGCTTTGAATCTGTATTTTGGTTCGAAAAACTTAGTTTTGAATAAGATTACATACATAAGACTAACAAAAAACATTATAGTTTTTAATTAGTTGCTTTGGTATCCAGCAAAATAAATTTTAAAATAAAACAGTTGCTATGATTATGAATCGGAGTCAATGACCGATAAGGCTAGATATATCATCACTATGAAAAAAATACTCTCACAGCTTTGGATTTAAAACTAATACGGACTGCATGAGATAAGGGCAACTTGATAACTTAAGTGCCTAAACCGAATGATTTATTGTTTGTCTTTTAATAAAGGTCAAGGTCGGATTCCTTACTCCTTAATCAAACAAAAGGAACTAGCAATTTAAAATTTTAAATGACTCACACCACAATTAACTCCAATGACTTAGCCAAAATATGGGGACTAAAACTTCCCTCCCAAAACTAAGTTTTTCATGTATCTTCTCCTTTGTAATAAACTCCTACAAAAAAAATGCTTTCTCATAAGTAGGGGAATGGATATTGATGGATTATGTAGCATTTGTTGTGAGGAAGAATAGGACATCAACCATATCTTTGTCAAATGCCCCCATACTAGACAAGTGTGGCTCTGAACCCAGAGTACTTTCGAGCTTACAAATGGTTTTAACTTTTAACCACTCAATTCAAGAGGTTTGGAAGAATCTTTCGAATCCTAGTTTTGAACCTCAGTTTGATCCAGATAAAAAAAGAAAAGTTTACCATCCTCTTATGGCATGTTTGGAAGAATCGGAATGAGTAACAACAAATGCTTACCTCCTCCTATCATTCTTAACAGAGCATTAAATTCCTTTTGGGAGATTAAATCTTGCTCCATTGAAAGAGTAAAAAGTGACTAATCTTGGATACCAATCAAATGGTCAAACCTGCTTAGATGCCATTAAAATTAACTTTGATGCCTCTTGCGTGTGAACTGTTGGGTGTGTTGCAAGAAACCATTTAGGCCAAATTCTGGACTTGAAAGCTTGTAGTATTGACACTACGACCATTAATTTAGTTGAAGCATGGGCAACTTGGGAAGCCCATTATGTCGCTAAGAACTTCACCAACAATCGCATTTTTTATCGAAAGTGACTCCAAACTTGTCATTGACCGCCTCACAGCAACAAAATCAAGACCCTATAGAGAATAGAGATCGAAGACAATCATTGAAGATTGCAGGTTGCTTCGCTCTCAGATCGAAGTAATAGTGGAGTATCACCGTGTCTTTAGATAAGCCAATAAGGCGGCAGATTGGTTAGCAGACGGAGCTCATTTTTCTTCAGTTTCTTTGGATTCCCTGCCTAGAGACTTATCGGTTATTAATTGTTTAGATTTCTGGGGGCGTGCTACCCCCGTGATGTGTAACCCCTTTTTTTTTATCAAACAAAAGAAGCAAGAAAAGAATGAAGAGAAGACGCGAACTTCAGAAAGAAAGCGGATCTGGACTTGATATAGGCTGAGGCATGGTAGATTTTGAATTGTAGTTAGAGTCCGCAATATAAAACTTTAAAAAAAAAAAGGATTTAGAAGTCCGCATTAGCTACGAACTTTTGCAAGTCTGCAAGTTTTGTTTATTAGTTTCCATGCTGCATGAATAATTAAAACAATTGCATGAGAAGCATTTGCATATATAATAGTGAAACTGTGAAACAGGGATTTTTGATGGAATGTTAAAAACATCAAAATATCTCATGTGTATCCCAAACCTCATAACCAGAGCCCAACTGTGAGCAGATGTCTCTGTTTCATATGAGGTGATGGCTAAATCTCATACATGTTCTTAATTTTACATCCAAACTGATCCACCCCCTAAGAAGCCACCTGTTGATCTTTGCTGCAGCATCACGACTAAAGCACAACTGCATCCTTGCAATGCTCAAAAGTTTTTATGGCTTTCACCCAGTCCAATGCACCATCGACTTAATCCATGCACCAACTGTTCAATGGGCCGTCATCTTTTCACACTAAACAAAATCATGCAGACTGCCAAAAGATGTATGGAAATCTGCTGCAGCATCAAAAGAGTGGAATAAAATCAATAAAGGCCATATCCATTCAATTTTCATAAACAAGATGATGAACTCCGGTTGGATAGAAACATTTGCCACGTTATTTCTATTAATACTGTTCTAAAGTCGAATAATTAATATGAGAAATAACATGATGTCATGATATATTCAGATATCAATTTAGAAATGTGAATGTGAATTTACCAAAAAAATTAGAAATGTGAACCTGGTGGTAATAATTACATGTATAACTCATGCAACAACAAAATTAGGTTTCCTTGCATATTTTTGTTTTACCCTCCATAAACTAAAAAATTCAAATGATAATATACTAAGAACATGATACTCTTCCACTTGCTCATATTGCAATATTTCAAATCTTATATTATTTGCATTTAATCTACCTCACTATGAAGAAAGATGGCAGAGGGAAATAGAAGGAGAGACCTGTTGCAAATGCTCACCAAATGGGAAAGTATGGTAGCATCAGATTAATGTCGATCTACAAGTAGAAGATTTGAATGAGAAGAAATTTTCTTCCATTTCTATTTGCAGTTCTAGGTAAAATATGGGGTTTAAGAAGCCTATTCAAGAGAAGGAAACCATTAGTCCAGTTTTGTTTCCTTCTGAACATTTATAGTGAAGGGTAGATGTTTTGCACCCACATGGTTGGCATGACCTGTAAACCCATTTAGAACAGCAGTTTAATGTTGCATATTTTCAGCTCCTATGGAATAAGTTTTAATTTAGAAAATATAGAACTTGATTGGCTTAATTGAGAAAGTGGAGAGAAGACCGTTAGAGTCCTATCTTTTTTTTTTTTCTTTGAGAGTAAGTATTGAATTATATTATAAATGAAACAGAACTCATGTACAGCCAGAAGCTGTACTCGGGGACTGTACAAAAGCTGCCCCTGCAGCACTATACCACCAAGCCCTGCTTTACAAAAAGATTTTCACACACAAAAAAAGGAATTACTACCTTTCTCCAATCTCCATAGCCCACCTTGGTTTTCCCCAAATCTCCAAAACCATGGTTTAAAGTGTCCATAAATTTCCTAATATTTCCATGACATATGTCCATTTCCATGGATAGCAACACAATTTTACTAGAATGGACATATTTCCCTAGTAAACAGTACCAGCACTATGTGGCAGCACACAAGAGATACTATTATAACATAAGTTGGTGACAATATTGTCGATATGTGGAGTAGCAATGTTATTGTTCGCCTAACGTACATGATTACCAATTTGAGTCAGACCGATATTCATTTCAAACATGAAGTTCAATATTAGCTTTGTTTGCACAACTGATTTTTTGTGTTCTACCAACTATTAGAATCATTTGCATTTTCTATGAGTTTAAAATTTGCTTGAACTCATTCTATCATGTAGTTTTAAATCCTAAGATTTACAGAATAACTTCATAACATATTATTTTGTCTATAACCTAAGTTTCTTAGCTTTGTTTAATGATTTGGAACAAGATAATAATTTTTAAAAAGGTGTTCCTATGCATCTTTTATCATTTTATAAAATATCACTATATATTTTTGCATATTCAAAAATGTTTCCACCATGTCTATAATTTTTTACAATATATTCATACGATGTTTCCAACATTTCCAACAGGTTTCCTATATTTGGACGACCAACATTTCCACCAACACCAACATTTTAAACCTTGTCCAAAACCATTTTCCCAACAGATTCTTTATAATCCTCACACCGAGGCCTCCTTGGAGTTTTGGTTTGCACACCTTGTTGCAATTGGCCAAGTGACATTTTTTTCTCCTCTTTCTATCCTTTCCATAGAAAACCTCTCAGTTTCTTTTCAATAAGAACCGCCATTTCAGCCAGGATTGGATACAATGAGTAAATACATCGATCCAGCTCCCTATCATTCAGGTTTCTTCTAAACTGTGGGGATCACAATGCCATTCTGCAACTTAAGACAGTCCTGTCATTTATTTGTCCTCTCCATTATCTTTAGGGTAAAATACTTAAACTACCCCTAGATTTTCTGAAATTGACTTTTTTATTTCTTTTGAAGGACTATACAACAGGGGGTAGCCCATCCCCCGACCCAAACCCGCCCAACCCAGGTGCAGGCAGGATTCAATCCCAAGTCTCTACTACAACCAGAAGGAGACCTTATCAACCAGCTTGGCACCTTGCTCCAGAATTGACTAATTGTACCCTTACTGTTTGCAAAGTGACTTAAAGTACCCCCCAGGTTTCTGACAATAGGCCAAATAAAAGTTCATGTTCCAACGAATCACACGTAGAGATATTGATAACACACATGAAGTTAATGGTATTTCATAACTAATTGATTGAGCAGCAGCTCGTAGACCACCTGAAAAGGAATATTTATTATTCGATCCATATCCTGACATAAGAAGTCCAATAGGAGCAATACTTGAAATGGCAATCCATAAAAAAACACCTATACTAAGATCGGCTAGAACAAGGCGACCCCCATCCATTAGTTCTCTGTCATACTCATATTCCATTCACATGTGACATCATGTGACTTAGAATATTTTAAAAAGCCAATTTTGCCCACTCTTTCTTCTTCACCATCTCTAGCCACCAAAAACCATCTCTGCTATCACCAATATCCCCCAATTTCCACCAATGAATAATAATAGAAAGAGTTTCTTCCATAGCCAAAGAAAAAGCTTGGGAATCTCAATGACCCAAACTTGAAGCTGCTTCTTCTCTGCAAATGGACAAGTCTCGTGCACCGACTTTATTCAATTTATGTACGTCTGACATGTCTTGCTTGAAAAACCAAACTTTGTCTGTTATGGCCCTGTTATTATCTGCTTGATGGATAAACGATGGTACTTCTAATGGACTTTCTTTTGTGCACACATCGACTGGCAGAGGAAACGTAAAAAAAGATAAAGAGAGGAGGGAAGGAGGTGAGATGCTGCTTGTAAACAGACTCAAATAAAAGCCCAGATTTGAACTATCCAGTACCCACCCAAACTCAAAATGGGTACTTGATAGCTGGATTATGGAACCATGTTAATCACCAAGGTTCCCTTACTATTGTTGTAAAAGACAAACTGTTTCCTGTTTCCCACCGTTTCCACATGAAACTGCAAAAGGACAGAGAAAACAAACAGAAAAGAGTACTAAATTTTCAAGTTCTTCAAAATGCTCAAATACAAGTTGCACAATTAAACCATTGTTAATCACCAAGGTTCCCTTACTCCGTTTTCTCTTTTATTTCCCTCTGCATTTGTTTTCATGGACGGTAGGATTTAGCGCAACATTGACATCCTTCAACGATTGATAGCACTCTTCTCTGAATCTGGAAAATAGGACAGCGCCCTCCATTAGCCTACATTTTGAATACATCTCTCATCATAACACTATAATTTACTCCTATTAAGGTCATGCCATAATGTACTATGGCTTAGAATAATGAGGACCATTTTTGTTTTCTAGATACTTCAATGTCTCAAAAGAAATGGCAACAGTCAATGATGTCAGAAGATTAATGCCGTCTCAACAGGCAAGGGTTGGATTAATCAAACATATTTTTTTGTCAATAACAGTGAATTTTAAGGATTGAAAAATTAAATAGAAAAGAAGCTAAACATTCTTTAACTCCCAAATACATCCAAGGTACACCCAAAATGTAAAGCAATTACAACACAGCCCAAAAAATAGAGTTTCTGTTCATCCCTTGCCTAGCTAGACCATCTACCAATGAATTTGCACTTCTCTTTACCCAAGTACATTGAATTTCAATATCCTTAATCAGCCACTTAAATTTCCTCTTTTTATTGTTGTAATTCCAAAGCCTAGAGTTGTCCTCTTTTAGCCAGTTCACCACAGTTTCAGAGTCTCCTTCTATGATCAATTTATTAATATACATGTCCTTGACCCTTTGTACCCCTTCAAGAACTGCTAGTATCTCAACCCTCAAGTAATCTCCCACCCTAATTGGACCAAAATACATAGCTAACAGATTCCCTTTTTCATCCCTTATAACTCCCCCTATTCCGGAGGACCCTGGATTACCCACACTGCTGCCATCAAAATTCAGCTTAGAAAAACTGTGAGGTGGACTGCCTACATAAGGAGGAAATAAGCTAGAGGCAAAAATCTAGATGTAAGTGGCTGCAAGAGAGGGATAGGAATACCAAGTTCTTTCATTCTCTAGCTAATGGAAGGAGAAGGAGGAATTTTGTTTCCAAATTGGAGGTGGATGGAGTTGAGTTGACACAACAAGATGAGATTGCAGGGGCCTTTGTAGGACATTTTAAATCTATCTTAAGGAGGCTTGTGAGTATGAGGGTGTGGTTGGAAGGCTTGGACTGGCCAGATGTGGGGTTTGATAATAAGAGAAGATTGGAAAGAAGGTTCGAATTGGAAGAAAATAAGGAGACTGTCTTCTCAATGGATAGAGCAAAAGCTCTAGGTTCAGATGGTTTCACAATGGCTTTTTACCAAGATTGTTGGGATATTTTGAAAGATGATATGTTATTGGTGTTTGAGGAATTTCATAGGAGAGGAGTGGTTAACCCGGGTGTGAATTCCACCTTTTTAGCCGTGGTTCCGAAAAAGAAAGATGCGTCCCACCCAAAGAACTTTAGGCCTATCAGCTTGGTAAATAGTTTGTATAAGATCCTGGCCAAGGTGCTGTCCCTGAGATTGAAGGAAGTATTGTCAGATATCATTACACCAAATCAAGGAGCCTTTGTGAGCGGAAGACAAATTACCGACCAAATCCTAATTGCTAATGAGAGTGTTGAGAATTTCAGAAAGGGTGGGAAGAAGGGAGTGGTATGTAAGCTGGATCTGGAAAAGGCTTATGATCTGGTAGATTGGGACTTTTTGGGGGGAGTGATGTCCAAATTTGGATTTGGGGATAGAGCAAATGGATTATGGGGTGTGTTCGGAACTGTCATTATTCTGTATTAGTGAATGGGACTGTGGTTGATTTCTTTCTAATCATAAGGGGTATAAGACAAGGGAACCCCCTCTCTCCCTTCTTGTTCACATTGATTACTGATGTATTGAGGAGATTGATTCACAGGGCCGATTCTAGAGGTTGGAGAGTTGGAAGGGAGGAAACCCCCCTCACCCACCTACAGTTTGCAGATGACACGATTTTGTTTTGTGAAGGAGGAAACTTAGACTATATTAGGAATATGAAATTGGTGGTACTTCTTTTTGAACAGATGTCAAATTTGAAGGTGAACTTTGAGAAAAGTTGTGTAGTGGGTGTGAATTTGGAGGAGCAAGAAACTAGAGAGAGTGCAGAAGTGCTAAGGTGTATGGTCTCAGAATGACCATTGAACTACTTGGGATTGCCTTTGGGGGACAACCCAAAGAGAGAGAGTTTCTGGAATCCGGTGGTGGAAAGATTTGAGAAGAGACTTGCAGCTTGGAAAAAGAATTATCTTTCTCTTAGAGGTAGGACAACATTGATTAAGGCTACTCTAGCAAATCTCCCCATCTATTTCCTGTCATTGTTCAAAATCCCAGTAAAGGTTGCTAATAGACTGGAAAAAATGATAAGAGATTTTCCTTTGGGAGCCGTGAGCGGAGAAGAGGGACCATAGGGTAAGCTAGAAGGTGGTGACTGGAAGTAAAAGCAATGGTGGGCTAGAGCTTGGGAATATTAGAGAAAGAAATCTAGCACTCTTGGAGAAAGGGTTGTGGAGATTCCCACTATTGAAGGATAAACTATGGGCCAAAATAGTGGTAAGCATACATGGGCTAGAGTTGAACGGATGGGATGCTAGAATTCTGGCAAGGACCACTAGTGCATCGCCTTGGAAAGCCATTCATGACTTATTGCCAGTTTTCTCCCCTCTTATCAAGTGGCGTACGAAGAGGGGAAGGACTATGTGGAGAGGGCTGAGGGCAGCAGTATGCTGGTCTTTGTGAGAAGAAAGAAATTCTAGAATCTTCTCTGATGTAGAGAGAGGTGCTGAAGAGTTGAGGGCCTTGATACACATAAGGGTCATTCAATGGTTGAAGTCCCTAGAGCTTTTCACAGAATATATAGTGGATGATATGTTGAGGAAGTGGGGTGAGATTGCTAGCTATACCTAGACTAAAGCTGGGGTGTGTTTTGGACGCCCCCACTTGCGGGCTCCATAAAACTAGACTTTTATGGAAGTAGCATAGGGAACCCCGGACAATCAAGGATTGGGGGTGTCTTCAGGGATGAGAATGGGGTTGTTTCTACCTTGTTCTTAGGCCCAATTGGGGTAGGTGATTCTCTCAGAGTCGAGATCCATGTAGTTATAGAAGGTGTCCAGAAAGCTAGAGAGATGAATATCAAAAAACTCATAATTGAAGGGGACTCGGAGGTGGTGGTTGGGTGGTTGAACAAAGAAGAGAGTGGTTTATGGAGTTATAGTAATTTGAAGGGGAAATTCAGATGGCTGGTTCAAGAAATGGAAGTTAAAATTGTTTGGGTGAAAAAATCAGCTAATTCTTTTGCTGATGGGTTAGCTAAACAAGGGGTGGACAAGGATGTCATGTTTTGGGCACAGATGTAATTTAATTTATTTTTCTCCTGCTCTCTTGTTTCTTCTCTTGGTGCTTATGTTGTAATTGGAAGATAAGAAAGTTTTGTCTTCCTCCCTGTAATTATTGTGATACTTAATGAATTGTGTTATTGATCAAAAAAAAGGTGAGGTGGAGGGGTCCAACAAGAACTTGAAACCTTCTAGTTGGAGCTGATTATGCAATCTCCTTTCAATTTCTTAGCAACTCATCAATTGAGAAATCCGCAAACATGTCCAAAGTTTTCAACCAATGTATCACCCATTTACCCTAATATAAATGATCTCCAATGTTACTTCCAAGCTTCTCTCCTTATCTAAAAAAATCCGTGAATTTCTCTCTTCCCAAACAGTCAAACAAATTGCAGCCCTAGCACATCTCCACATAATCTTAGCCCTTTTTGTTGGCCAGTTAGGCATGGAAGTAAATAAGCTTTGCACATTCAATGGGAGAGTTCACCTGCACCCAAACAGAGAAGTAACTCATTCCCAAATGACTTTAGCAAACTGACAAGAAATTAGTAAATGGAATCCAAACTCACCATCAGTTTTACAAATGACACACCAGTGAGGAGACAAACAGCTATTGGGTCTTTTTCTTTAAAGTAAATCACATGTATTTACTTTTTTCCAGAAAGGCTTCCCAACAGAAACTCCCAACCTTCGGAGGTATAGGTTGACACCACACCTCTTTAACAAGGAAGGACAGTCCAACAAACGAAGGTTGTATTAGGGCTTTAAAGAATAAGGCACAGGTGAAGGAACCCAAGGGAGTGAGTGTCCAAATTCTACTGTCTGCCTTTGTTGGCTCTAGGAAGACCCCTTCAAGGATGAATAATAAGATTGAAGTACAGCCTAACTTTGTGTCCCTGATGACTCTTCTCAAACCCAAGTTCCAACCAAACCCAAAAGTTGAGTTAGAAGGTACAAGGAAGGAGGATACCAGTTCATTTTTAAGGGTAGAGATAGCAAAAAGAGTCGAAAATTGGTCTTTTAAAGAGGAACCCCCAACCCAAACATATTTGCAAAATTTAATGAGGTTGCCTAAGTGCAAGCCATACCTAATCCAGGGAGAGAACAAGGGAAAAATAGCTTGAATAGCTTTCTAGGGAGACGCTCTTGTAGTCCTTGCCAAAATCCCAGAGTCCCATCCATTGTCCACAACCCAATGAATACTACCCACTATCTTAACCCAAAGTTTATCATAGCAATTTCCCTAGTAGTGCCAAGTTCCTATTCGGCTATTCCTTATGTTCCCAATACCCAGACCTCCCTCCTTCTTGCTCCTACACACCACCTCCCACCTAACCCTATGGCTAGGGGTGATCATGGGCCAGGCCGGTCTTTGCACTTATGATAAGGGTTATAGCTTAGGCCCGAGCCCGGGCCCGGCCCAGCCAAGGGTTCCAAGCCTGAAACATAAGCCCTAGCCCAGGTCTACACGGGCCCGAGCCAGGTCAGGCCTGATTCTGGGCCAATGTCTTTCATATATAAAACATTACATATCTATAATATTACATTTTATATTAAATGACATAACATGCATATAAACTTTTATTTTGTATATTATATAATGTAAAATATTACATATAATAAAAATTATGCATGTCATGTTATAATATTTATATATAAAATATATAACATAATGTAAAATAACATGTATACATTATACACAAAATGTGTAAGTTTAAATATATGTGGGTCAGGCCCGGGCTGGGCTTAAAGTATTAAGCCCGGCCCTAAAATTTGCTGGCCTGATGTGGGCCCAGGCCCAGCCCAGGCCTGAACACAAAACCCAGGCCCAAGCCCAGAATTTTCGGGCCGGGCCAGGTTGAAATGATCACCCCTACCTATGGCCCTTCTTCTCCTCCATCGGCTCCTAGAGGAAGTCTATCATTAGTTTTTCCAACCTGCTAGCCACCCTAACCGGAATCTTAAAGGCCGACAAGAAATATGCAAGAAGGATTAATCAAACATATGGGAAACTACTTATCTTCTTTGGAAAAGAAAAGAACATTTCCATACAACGAATAAAATGCACTTACCTGTTAGTCTAAAAGGCACCTTTGCGCCACTTCTCATTAAATGCAACCTACATCCTACATTCAGTGTAGGTATAATAGTAGCAGCAGAAGAAAGTCCTTGTGAATTACAAGGAAATGCAGCCAAGAAGTCCATTCATGTTTGTTTTTCTGGCCGTAGGTTACAAATACCATTTTGAAAATTTGAAGAAAAAAGAAGAATAAAATAGACATTTCAATCTTTTCGTCCATACCTAACAGCGATGTCCTATTGTCAAAAAACTCGGGGGTACTTTCAAGTCATTTTGCAATCAATAAGTTCATCAATTTTGCAAAACCCAGCGGTAGTTTAAATATTTTACCCTTATCTTTATTTTGTTTTTTAGAAGTTGGCTTGGTAGAGAAAAGAGGAGAGAGCTGCGAGAATCATGTTCCTTATTTGCCTTCTCTACTGTGTTAAGTTTTTCCCCTTCTGCCAGAGATTTAATTTGTTTTCTAGTTTCTACTGCATGGTAAAAAGGCTTATCTGGTTTACCTCCCCCAATGCACCACCCAAAAGTCTGATAGAATTTAGATAATTAGATATGGAATTGATCTTTCAAATTAATATTTAGAATTGGCCCCATTATATCTTCAAATCCATGTTTTTTCCTCCAAGGATGCAAGAAAAAAGGCAAATAAAACTTCAATTTTCAAAATCAGCATTTCTTTGTCTGAAGACTTTGAAACTTTATTGAGCATCTTTCTCCCAGGTTTGCTGCTTAAGCACCCGAATAACAGTAGGTAATATTTTTTTTTTTTTTTGAGAGAGAGAGAGAGAAGGTAAAGTAATGATTTATATTGAAGTAAATTGTAGGCACAGATTACAAGTAGGTAATATGTTCATCTCTTAAACTTCACAAGAACAGCCCCTTACCTAAGCCAAATATCATTAAAGATAGCTACAAACAAAATCCTGCACCAGAAGATTCATATAACCATATGAGTCAGCCTAGAGACATACCAGATACCATAGCTCCAAGGTAATTACACCTAAGTTCCTAAGGCCCCGGGATGATCTACTTGCCCCATTACATAGCAGTCATTGTCACATAGCATTGCACATTCTTTTGGCCAACCACAATTACAAATTCCTCTAGCCTCAAGCTCAAGGATACAACAAGTACTACTCTCTAACTCTACAGATCACAATGCTCATCCCCACAGTTAAAGGTTGCCTATAACTGACAACAAGGGGTTCAAATAAGGGGAGATCAGTAAGCAAAAACCTTTCTCAAGGTGGCTTGAGTCAACATTCCAAAACTCAAAATTGAGTTTTCTTTTCTTTTCAATTGTTAGCTCTAAAATTAAATTGAAGCAGAAGAAAGAACAATAAACAAAGTTTACACTCCTACAAGTCGAGCATCCTTTAACCATGGGAGAATGAGTTTACTACAATTACTCTCCTCATGGTGCCATTGTCAATCCTACAAGATCCAATGGTGCCTGATATCTTGCTCAAGTCTCCCTCAGCCTTTGATTTGGAAAAGGGCTTGGTGTTTTTCCCTTCAATTTTGTTGTCCATTAAATTTCTTCTGTACTTTAGAATAAATTTCTTGACCAGTTACTAATAAAAAAATGACACCTACAAAGAAAGCCAGGGAGAGAAAGCAAGATAGGGAAGACAATTTAATTGACAATTGTGCAGATTATCTTTACAAGCGCAATAGATTAATGCAGCCAATTCATGCATTGTACCTTAGTCGGGCAAGGCAGTTCCCCGCTCAAGGTTGTTCTTAATCTCCAGTGTATATTTTCCAAAGGCTCTTTCGATCTTCTTGTTGAAATGTTCATTCCGATCATTGATGGAGTCAATATCCTTCTCTTCATGGAACCTGCGTCTCCTACTAAATGCCTTTCGCTTCTCCTCCTTGTCCTGGAGCTCCTTCACCATCTTGTCAATCTTCTCCTCTGAGGTCTTTGGTGTCTGCAGAAGGGAGAAAAGATGAGAATGGACAACCAGTGATTCTATTCTAAGATTAGCATAATAGAGTTTCTTTGAAGACATCACCTTTCCATATTGAAGGCTGGAAGCATCACGGTAGAACTCTGGATCAGCTTCTTTCATTCTATTATATTCTTCAATATCACACTCTATGTTCTTTGTCCGCTTTTTGTAAGCATTATACAGAGTTTTCTGATTGAAAACTGTCCAGAAAGATACCATGAGTTGACTTAAATATCAAATTCCCCATTTACAGGCACACAATTGTAGTAAGAGGAAAAGTATCCATTCGAAACAATTAATCAATTATTATGTAAGATACAAGCATCTAAAATATGCAGAAGTAAGGCTGACAGTCTTCAACCATAGAGCTATGATCTTTTGTCCCCAACACATTTCTTCTCTATGAATAATAGTAGACAGTTTTCTCTTTAACTCTACTTTCTCCAATTCAGCCAACCTGAACAAATGATCATCTTTATCTATCCAATTAAGCCAAATTTTCTAACAGTTCTATTTCTTTTTTTTTTGTTTTTTTTTTGATAATTGAAATGATTTTATAAATCAGCAATAAAAATAGTACAAAGTCCTCATGGAAAGGTACGAGTTGCAACCTCTCCGGGCTATTTAAGTACAGATTTCCGAATTAATAACAACTTACATAGAAGCACAAAAAAGATCTTCCCTAGAAACCCCCTTTTTGGCTAGAGCATCAGCCAAAGAATTAGCAGACCTACTAACCCATTTTACCTCAACTCTCATATTGCTGGTTAACCACTTTCTAACAGTTCTATTTCCTTAATTCAACATAACCAAAGAGGTTTGTATATTCCATCCTTTTAGCATCTATTTTATGAGTCACACTCACCACGGAAAATTTCTCACTTCTTATTTTTTTCAAAAGGAAAAACATTCATTAATATAAGCATTAAGTCAATTTTTCCAATGTAGTTCTCCACCAATGGTAAAGTATCAGGATGAAAAGCATGAAAATGCAAGTTAGAGTCTGCAAATGATCAGTTTGGTTTAAAAGGGCAATGCTTCATAGATGTAATAAATTGACAAAACAAAAGTAGGATTATGCTCAAATAAGTCTAAACTATGTATAGAAAATTATGAATTTACATGGAGGAAAAACTGTCCATAATATCAAGGAGGAATTAATAGAAATCATCACCTTCAAAGAAGCAAATTTTGTTAAAACAAGTGAATTGTCTAAGGAGTTTTCAGTGCAGAAAATAATCAGGGGATGGATTCCAGTGGCAAATACATCACTATCAAGGCTGTAACTCAGGAGTTTCGGTTCCCTTCAGGATCTCAAAGATTAAAACTTAACTTTGATGGAAGCTCGACTGGCAGCCCAGGACCTTCTGGTATTGAAGGAGTTTTTGGAGATGGGGAACAAACTGTACTGACTCTCTTTTCTGGTCCATTAGGAGTGAGACTCACTTAGAGGAAGTTTTGGCCCTCCTTCAAGGCTTAAGATTGGCTAAACAGTTGGGTGTCCAGAATTTAGAAGTGGAAAGCAACTCCAAGATAGTGATAGGGTGGATGCAAACAAGGAATTTGGGGGTATAGAACCACGGGCAGGTTGTGAGGGACATATTTTGTCTTTCAAGAAAGATTGTGACAAGTCTCAAATGGATTAGAAGATCAGCCAATGGGATGGCTGACAACCTAGCTAAACAAGAGACAAATAGAGGGAGCTCTTTTGGGCTGCTATGTGATTTGTTTTTCAGCAATTGTAACATTCTAATTTCAATTGAAAGTTATCGTTTCCAATCGAAAAAAAAAAACAAAAGAAAAATACATGGAGGAAAAAAATAAAACAGAATGTAACTAACTAGGAAACAAAGTCACTGGAGACCTAAGCTTACCATCCCAACCAAATGGAGCAGGATCTTTTTCCCATTTTTTGTATTTTGCCTCTGCCATCTCTTCTGTATCAAGCATATATGCCTTTGTCATATCCAAACCATTTGCATCAAGTAGCTTACCAATTTTCTTCTTCCTCTCTTCAAGCCATTTTTGTTTAGAAATACCCCTTGACTCCTCTGGAGTTTCCATTCTTTTCTTCTCCGCAACCATAGCAGTTTGGTTAGCTTTTCTCGCTTCATTCTGCAAGGGTACCATAATGAAAAATAGAATAAAATGGACAGCATTGAATCACCTTCATATTTGCAAATTAAATGTCTTGGCTGAGAATACTACCACTTCAACGTGGAAGAAGGCTTACCATCTTAAGTCTTAACTCGAACAACTTTTTCTGCCTCCCTGTGAGTTTTGTGAAGTCTGGTTCCATGTTATCCTCTACAGAATGATCACTATCCTCATCAGCATGTTCTTCAAGGTTAGGTATTTTTCCATGAGGATCTTGATCCTTATCAGGGGCATCTGAATGTGATGGACCACCAGCATCCCCGCCACCAATAGCTTGTCTCACTTCTGAAATGACATGGTGCAGTGATGAAGCATTAAATGCATGACGACTTGGACTGAAGTATGAGGAAAATATTTGACTAGGTAGGCCCTTTCATCTTAACACAGTTAACAGGTTAAATCAATTGGAATTAAAAACACAAAATGCTTGACAAATGCCACTCAAGAAACCTCATATCTACTTATTCAATGTAAAGATTCTTTAAACTTCTGGTGATAGTGAAATAAAAATTCATTACATGGTGAAAAGAGACTGGGCCGAATGGGCCCTAGTATCTATTCTTGTAATTTGTTTTTATTTATTTGTTGCTAATAGGCCTATCTTAATGGGCCTGTTATTTCTTTTTTTTCTAGTTCTCTTTATGTTACTGCCTAGCTGGCCGCCCACTTAAGGGTATACTTGTAATTATGTTAAGACTGAAGTTTAGTAAAAGGATTAGAGAAGGGAGGGAAGAGACATTCGAACTCTTCTTCTTCTTCCTCCTCTTTTCTCCATCTTCTTTCTCTTGTACTGCTGTTCTCTTCTTTTCTTCCTCTTTTCTCTCTAATTTTTTCCAAGTTTACATCTGTTTTTAAGAGGACTGATTTACATCTGTTTTTTTTAAAGGTAAAGTATGGTATTTTTTTAATGGGGATTATAGATTTGTGCACAACCTCTCTCAAAGAAACCCTAAACCCCGAAGCACTCAAAACCTCTTGATTTCTCTCTCAAGCCAAAAGATACATACAAGAGAAAACCCCCAAAATACATAACTCTTTGTATTCAAGGCGGATCCATAAGCTGAATATGCATCGGATGCGGCCCAAGTCCTACGCTTTCACCACAAACCACTGTGAAAATTTTCCTTTGGGTTTTTCTTAACTTAATTTGGAGCATGTCATGAAGTGAGCCGCAATAAAGAATTCAAGGCACAAACATTACAATAGGAACCCTTAAAGGATTGTCATCGCACCAATGATCCTGCCAAAATTTGACTCTATTCCCTTGATCAATTCTGTATTTAATTCCTTTAGAGATTTCCTAAGAGACAAAAGCAACTCGTTTCTATAATTTTGGGAGACATCACCTGGCTCCCAACCACGACCTGTAGTACCATATTTGCTCAAAGTAAGCTGCCTCCACAAACTCAGAGGTTCTTCATCAATCTTAACCTTCTTATACCTAGGCCTCCTTTCCTCAATGGTTTACAAATTTGACCCCATTTCACCAAGTGAAATTTAAATTCTTCATTAGATCTCCATAACTATTTTGCATTTATTAGATCTGCATCCGCTTTTAAAAGCAATTAAATGATCATCCTTCTTTTGTAAAAGTGTAGGCATCAAATCCATTTAAAAGGTATTTAATAACCCATCTAGTAAGTAGAGGAAATGAAATTTCAAAGTATCTAAAACAATCACAGATAAGGTAAAATTCGATTAATTTTATAAACATTAAATAATATTTTTAATTTTACAAAATGGTGGAAACATACAATATTGTATAAGTAGTTGGCAATGAAAATGCAATAGCTAATCAGTCAGGAATGGATTGTACAAGCACATACTATCCAAACAAGAGTTCATTAAATCTCTTTAAGTTCCTTCCACACTGCAATTAAGTATTAGACCTGGGAATTATTCACAAGTGCCCAATTTAGAAAAAGCAACCCGATCCTCCAACCTTTGGCCCCTTTTATATCTCAACTCCCAATAATTAGAAAACAGCAAACTAGATTATTCTGCTATTACAATATATTCATAAAGGCAAACCACCAAGAGAGAGGTTTGAGTTGGAAGTAATGCACAACTAGGCCCACTCTACAATTTTCTAGGTCTTTTTTACCAAGTCTGAGAGATCTTCCTGTTTATCTGGTATCAAATACATTTTGCAATTGGCCAAACCAGTGATTTAAAAGGCAGTCACAGAGGCAAGGCACAAGAAAATTTAAAAGGCACTCACCTCAACAACTAGGCAGGCACCAGGAAACCAAGGCAAGTGCTTTAATAATGTTGCATCTTATGTAATTTCTTAACGTTTGCATACAATATTTACAATGCAGTAAAATTTGTTAGCTTTATTTTTTTTTCATGTCTTTTTATAAAATTGGTCTAGTAAAAGTAATTTGAAGCTCCAAGCCAACCAACAGACTCAGAGTAGTGAAGCAATCCAAGCTAAGCTTGAATATGAAGAAGAGACTCTATCAATGAGAACTGGTTGAAGTGATTCAATCCAAAGGCAAGGTATGTACAACATCTTCTTCTCTCCCCTCTGATTTTGACACCAAAACAGGGGATCCACACCACATTGTTTATCTATCTTTTATTGTTCTTTTGGATTGTTGAAGGCATTTTTTTATCCAAATAATATTTAAATAAGTTAGAACTCAAATAAGTGGGTTGGCTAGTCTGCTAGCCGAATCATTAAAACTATAAAAAAGTATCCCGTATGGGTGTTCTCTCTCTTTAAGTGGGGAGTTCCCTCTCTTTAAGTGGGAGGGACAGGTGTCCTTCACCTAGGAGGAGGAGGTAGTTACATAACTACCCCACTCCCTATTTAAGCTCCTTAAGGGGAAGCTAGAAGCACACACACAGACAGGCAAAGAGACTCTTCGGAGAAAATTTTCACAAGAGATTCTTAAGAAAAGCAAAGGAGAGAAGAAAAGAGAAGTGCTCAAGGGAAGGCAGGGAAGGGAAAGTCTCACTAATACAGTTAGAAAAAAAAAAAAAAGGTCCTCTCTGTGAATACTTCCTATATATGTCTTCTGCTATGTATCCTTCTTCCTCTCACTTTGATTTTCACTTTTGAGAAAGGAAATAGACGGAAATAAACCATCTATAACTAGGTGCCTCTACTTGGTTGATTATGGTCCCTCTTTCAAGACAAAGTTAGGGAGTAAACCATCTACAGTCTAAATCTCAAAGGCTGATTACAATTCCCTTCAAATGAAAATGAAGAGCAGAGGGGTGAAAATTGTCTACAATCAAATACTTAATTTGACTACAATTCCCTTTTTGTATGCAAAATTCCAAGGATTAAGGCTATCTACAATCACAATTTCATCTGATTGACTATAACTTATTATGAAGAAAGGAGTGAGAAGGAAATTTTCTTTGTACTAAAAAGAAAAGAGAAATGTATTGTTGTATAGTTTCTCAATTGTATTTTCTTTTTCTTTCTTCTCATTCTTGTACACTTGATGTAAAAGAAAAGCAAATGAAAAGTTCTTTTAAGTACCATATTGTTCTTTTCTTTTGTTCTATGAGTTCATTTCTCCAAGTCAAAATCAAAAGGTGTTCTCTACTTTCTTGTGGAGATGTAATTAAGGGGAACAATCCGTATGATTCCCTGAATGGGCCTTACCCAAAATAATAAAAACTCAATCACTTGATTGAGTGAATTATGTTGCATGAGAATTTATTAAAATTTTCACACCAACATAATTTTGGCACGCCTGGTGGGGCCCATTTTCCTTTTCATCTCTGACTTACAGTATAAAAAAAAAGGAATGTGTAAATCTTAAATCAATATTATCTCCTTACATGAAGAAATATCTCAGACATGGCACCTAAAGTGGTTGTCTACTACCACAAACTGACTGCTATGGAGAAGGAAAAGATAGGAGGCTCTAAGAAGCCTTCCTACAAGGCAACATTTACTGTGGACGTGAATCCTCTTGCTGCTGCTACTATGTCTTCTGTCACCAAGGTGGAGAAAAAAATCAAGAAGGAGAAAAAAAGGAAGGTCACTAAGACCTCTCCTGTGATGAAAAGTCTACATGTTCAAGCCATGTTCCACCCTGCCAGGAAAGAAGGTTTCAAGCCACCGAGGGCAAATTCCTCCAAAAATGTTGCTTCATCAATCTTGAATATCACAAAATCAATGGTGACTTCCCCAAAGAAGTCCACCAAAGTAAGGGCTAAGGTTATTTACCCTACTCAAATCATGATAGGAACCATTCCAGTGAATCTTTCGACTCCTCCTACAACATCAGTCATGATGGTGACTATTTCTAAAGAGAAATCTACTCTTCAAACCTTCAATGAGGCTATAGGAGAAAAGGCAATAGATGTTCCTTCATCTACATAAGTGAATCCCCGAGTAATTAAACTTGGAAATTCAAGTGGAAAAGGTTCTTCCTCTTGTGGGAAGAAAATTATTTGTAATCAGAAGCCTTGAACTAGAATTGAAGGATCTTCAAAACAATCTCCAATTCATGTTCGTAATCCTAGATCCAAGAGGCCTCCAAAGGCTAAAAAGCTACAAAGTAGCACTTCCATTTCCCTTGCTGATTTTGCTGCAGAAAGATCAAAGAAAGCAAAATCAGATATGGAAGCTAGAAAATGGGCTTTTATTACTGGATACATGTTTGCTAAACAAGCAAATTTTTACTTTGCACCGGGGGCATATACTATGCTCAATGAAGAACTTAAGCCCTATAAAGGCCCCATCTCTAGAGCAAGAGCTCGATTGTTGCAAAGCTCTTAAGACACGTCAAGTTCAAGTTTGACTAGTGAGTCTGTCACTTCCAAAGTTAAACTAATCCAATAAGATCATAAATCTTCAATTCAAGAAGATGAATCTATGGATGAAGTTACTTCACAATTGCAAAGAATTTCCATGTCCTTAGGAGAAGACCAAGAGCCATCTCCTATGACAGTCATGGTGACTGGTACTTCAAGTTTAGAAGAGCAAATTCAAGAGATGCAACGAAAGATGGCAGAAAATGATGCAGAAATTGCATCTTTGGTTGCCTAGTTGACAGCTCAAGCAAGCACATTTGCTAGAGAGTCATCTCAACAAGCATCAACTTCTGCTCCTGCTCCTCAAATAGATCTAAAGACACTTATTGCAGAGGGAATAAAGGAATTCCAAGCATCTCTCACACCACCTGTCCTTGGTTACAGGAAACCATATCCTGCCCATTATGATACACTCCCATTTCCTTCAAGATATCAAAAGCCCAACTTTGAGAAGTTTGATGGAATAAATGGATCTCTCCATGAACATTTGGCCCATTTCTATT